TGGTTGGCACGGTAATTGAAAAACGCTATCGGGTGTCCGTGGAAAACGCGATTGTCCCGAGGAAAGTAAGGAAATGGCTCTGTGCGAACGTCGCGGTGCGAAAATCGGCTCCTCTGGATTTTTATGAACAATTGTAGAACCATTAAGAAGATATTTATCCTTGTTCCAGAATTTTTTAATTTCCAAAAGTATTAAAATAAGTATACTAATACAAATAATAAAATACTAACACAAAGGAAATAAATGGCAGTGAATTAAAGTAACTACAATTCTCGCAAAATGTATATTATAAATTTTCATTTTAATTAGGAGTTTTCTTAATCGATTTTATGGACCGAGGTCCACTTCGAGTCAAAATTAATCGATCTGCTTTTACATGCTTAATTCCAACAACTAAAGGGAAATTAAAATTCTACGAATTAAAAATCGTGAAAATAAACAGAAGATTAAAGTAACTGGAATTTTTGTAAAACGTACACTATAAATTCTCATTTCATTTAGAATTCTTCTTATTCATTTAGAATTATTTCATTTAGAATTCTTCTAATTATTTCTAAAAGAAATTCTACAGAAATTCGAACAAAGAGGATTCAAAATTTTACGAACTTTGCAGATTTCACAAACAAACCGGCTTTGGAACGTAAATAATCCCCACCTACGCATGACTCGCGAGTTTTGGCGCGTGCCATAATCGTGTGCGAACCACGAGCATACCTAGCAAGTGTAGTTACCTGTCTTACTGAACGTGTTCTTGTTAGCAGGTCACTGAAACGACGCCGGAACGTGAACTGTCGTCTTCGCGATGCACTTTCTCGTCGCCAAGATAAGCGAAGCGAGAGTCCTAGAGCAACACTTAGCACTTACGTAGGCCACGAGATACTAATACGTACGCCTAACTGCCACCATTCGAGAATTTTTTCTTGTAACGCTGTGGCTTGATCGAATCATTTACTATTTCATACTTTTCCGGTAAAATAGCCGCATAACAATGTGCAATCCGGTTATGCCAAGGTTACCGTTTTTATTATTAGTCGACGATTTAGATCCGACGCGAAAAAGATTTTATCAATTTTGAGAGATCTGAAATTTTGTTTCGAGCATATTTTATTTAAAGAAACTCAAGAAATCTGATTTTATTGTGAAATTGATCGAGCAACCTTCTCGACAACGAACATTCGACATTGAACAGCTTAAGAAATTTCAGAAAACTGAAGAATTTAATACTTTATTTAATCATATTTATGAAATTCTCTCTAATTCGCGCTCAGATTGCCCACAAAAATGGACAATTCGAGAAGAGGAGATACGATTATTCGAGCCTCGCGGCTCGTTTTTATAGTTCTCGACAATCGGGCAAGGGTTGCTTTAAAGTGCTGTAACTTCGCGGGAAAAAATCGCAACTGAGTTTATTTTTTTTTAAATTAAAGGGAAAGGTTCGAACATCGTTCGGCCATGAACGGCATTTCCGAAAAAAATTTTGCCAAGCCCGTGCATTTGGTTGAAGTTGGCAATTTTCAATATGACAAATATGGCGATTTTCATTACGACAAACGTGGCCTCGCATTTCAAAGATTACAGTGTCGAGGGCACATCAAACTCAAAATTCAGGAACGTCGCCTTAAAGCAGAGATTTCAAGCTTCAATTTTTTAAAAACGGCCATCATCCTACGATGGTTCTTCGCGATGTTATCGTCGAGTCAAATGTGGCCACTTTTTATCCAAAATTGTTCTACGCTATAATTTCATTGAGCAGTGTGCAGTAAATTCTCTCAAATTGTCCTTCGGCATCTAAACAAAAATGGACAATTTGGGAAGAGGAGATGCAATTATTCGTGTCTCCCGGCTCATTCTTATAGTTTCAGATTGTTGACAACTATAAAAACGTGCCGCAAGGCTCGAATAATCGTGTCTCCTCTTCCCAAATTGTCCATTTTCGTGCGCGATCTAAGCGGAAATTGGGAAGAAATTACTATACATGCTCAATTTACCTAAAACTGTCCGCTGGAAACATTTTCAATCGGCTCGATTCAACTGGCACGATAAATTAAAGCACGAACGAACCGGTCGAATTACGTTTCGTCGTAACTGCCTCGTCGATTCTGTCGAATTCTACAAATCGAGAAACGACCGAAAACAGAAATACGTTCTCGAAGATCACCGTGAGAAGCCACGTTCGCGCGTGTGCGAATCGCGACGGATGAGAAGCGATCGAGCAAATGCCATCGTTCCGAACAACGCGACCGCAAAGCGACGAAGAGTTAGGGCAGACGGTCGATCGAATTATTGAAATTCCGTGAGCCGGATGGGTGCAACGATCGCGGCGACGAGACAACAATCGGTGAACGCTTCCGTGAATCCGGGACATTTGGATGCATCGGCACGTTCTGCAGAAAGAAATCGAGGTTGAAGCCGATACACGCTGAGACGGCTCTCGCGCAATCTCTGCCCGTCGCTTATTCTTAAAAGCCCGGCACGTGCAACTGGTCTCGCCTGTGCTATTTGTGCAATCGAATCCAGACACCTGGCTGGCTCGCTTCTCGCGATGATTTGCGAGCGGTTCGTTCAACCGGGCATCGGTGAACCGTTTTCGTTCACCTCTGGCTTCTACAGGGTGTCCCAAGAATGTCTCGCAATCCGGAAATAAAGGGCTCCTCAGGTGATTCGAAGTAACTTTTTCCTTAGCGAAAATGCAATCCGTGGCTTCGTTTGCGAGTTATTAACGAAAAACACTGGCCAATGAGAGGCGAGCTCGGCTAGCGCGAGGCGGCCCAAACAACGAATGGCCCGAAATACTCTGAATAAATCTACCGAAATTCCTCGTCGATCCTCAAATTGCATAATAGTGGCATTATTATTATTATATATGTATATATATATATATCATTATATTATATATATAATTTTTTTATTATTAATTATTTATTAATTATTTTATTATATATATAACTATGGCATTTCATTTATAATTAGTCTGTGGATTTTACACATTTATTAGCAATTAAATTAGATTCAAATGAGGATAAATTTGATTTATAACAGATTTCTAATAGAAATTTAAATTGTAAAGAATTTTTATGGAATGTATTGTATAAATCATAGATTTTTAATAAAAATTTTAATTAACGCTTAAACGAGACATACGACAACCATAATTTTAAAAAAAAGCTTAACAACTGTTTTAACATTTGTTTCAACAACTATTTTAATATGAAAATCGTTCGTCGCGATGGAAACACGACGCTCGTTTATCGGTCACTGGAACACGTGACGTCGTGCACCGTAATCCTAACATTCGGTGTGCAACAAGACGCAGCCTAATCGCGGCACGCCGATTAATGCGCAAAAGGATCGATTCAATGTCGAATCGATCAATCGGAGAAACCTTCTCTAAGTACGAATCGATTACAAGTGAGCACCGCCGTAGCCGGTCGAAGAATTCAAAACCGAGATTGAAACAAGTTCCCAAGGTTAATAGTTAGAAAGTTAGTATACTTAATCTCTAATACCGCGAGCGTCTGCTTGTGTATTCCGGGAGTTTACTTTCAATTCGAAGCGCTGCTGACAATCTCGGTCAGAGAATCATTGACACGGTGTTGCTGAGGCCGTTCTATCCACAATGGGGAACGAAATTAAATGGCAACGAACATTTTCAAGCATCGTTGCATTGCTGTTAGTTAGATCGTTGAAAATCTGATTGCGAAATTTGTTTATGGACGTCGGAGGTATTTGTTATA